AGGCCGCTTACTTTGCCCACAGTATGAACGTATTGGGCAGTTCAGTAATTAGGAGCCAAAACCAGGCAGGTACGACGGTCACACTTGACTGGTCTGACTGATGATTAGGTCGTCTGACAATTGTGAGTGAACCATAGCAAGAAGTATCTGCGAAACTATTTGCTCCTTTTATGGGACCGATTAGTTTTATGACCATGGGCCTCGGCACAAGCGTGGTGTTGGAAGACAAGTTATACATGTACATCCGATATGGTGACTGTTTTTCGCTATTCATATTCTAAATACATTCATAATACCACAACATTTTAGTACTCCTTGAAACTTTACAATCACTTCAATATGTACAATAGATTGAACGAGAACACTTGATATATTGCAGATTATTAAATCATTGTCTCTATTATCAGCCGCTACGTTTGTATCGTTTGCATTGTACAAAGAAATATTTTATCTGTCCTTTTGCAGATTTAGCCTCAGAATGTGCTCATTCGAATTAGGAACGAAAATAATTGCTTATCATGAGTATATATGATACAGTTAAAAGTTACTTGTACACTGTAGACGTATTCACTTTAAAGTCGCATACGACCTTCGCGAGCGAGTTGAATGGTTAATTGGAACGAAGTCTAGAGAGGGTTATACATTTTTGTATTTGGTAATGTGTAGGTTTGTTAAATATAATTTTTTAAATTCCTTTTATTTCAATATGTAAAAACATAACTATGCGCTTAAAAACAGAGCTGACTTGATGGGAGATAGCCACCTCAGATTGTCTGTTGGACATGGTTTAACCTTACTGTGTCCTCACCCTGGTTGTTGTTACCGTTGTTATAAGGGATTAAGAGCTACGGCTCATTGCATTTTTGGTTACAGTCTGTATCACTAAAGTGGACATGTGCAGGTGAACTCTGTTCAATTAGTATATGAAATGCCCCAAAATGTGAACACCAGACAATAATAACCTGAGGGTAAATCCACGTGCGTCTGCCTTTCACCTCGTTCACCTTCCAAATCCTTGATTATTATATCATGCCAGAGTTCTGAAATTCAGTGACAATGTTACTGAACAGTAGAATCTGATGGACGTTTTGTGCAGAACCTGTTTGACACTATGGGTTCCAGGACCACTAACACTCTGAGCTGAAAAAGTTTGGTCCTAACCGCACCCAACATCTACAAGTTTGTAAGCTTGTAGACATCATTAAGAAGTAATTAACAGTCCCATGCTGAGACCTTTCTCAAAATTCAGACCGGTGGCAGGCTGCCAACAAAGAGAAGAAAATATCGCAACCCCGACACGAGTGTGCTCAGTCAAACAATGAACTTACGACCGGCAGAAAACAACTCCAGTTGAGCATGCCGGTGCTGTATCTCAGCCGTGTTGGCCTGAAAATTTAAACATGCTAATTAAATCCAAAATCGTATAATTATTTTTAATAGAAACCGTATCTTAATTTGTTCTTGCACTGCATCATATCGTGTATTTCATCTGTATATGTGTAATGTGTATATGTATCAATGACTACACTTATACCGCATATTCTGCAACAGACTATAATTAATCACCTTATTATTGTCTCTCCATTTACCATGGCTGACTGCACTAATACCCTTTTAACAGTGGACACCGATATCAGTATACATGTAGGCTTTTTGTTCAAAAAGGAATATGCAGGAAATTATATGTAACAATTAACTGTGTACTAATTACATGTTTGAATGTTATCAGTTTTACGTTCTGAGATACAGTGATGTAAGCATCTTCTAAAATCTTCTAAAAATATAATAAAATACAAAACTCTCTGCCGTAATTTTTTGTGGAAATCATTCGATCAAGTAAAAAATGACTGCGTGACAAGACGAATCAACTATTTATACACGATAAAAGAAACTGCCGTATTTTAGGAACAGTGTTGTAACAAGACATTTGAAATTTCTAACAAGCAGATACATTAGAGACAGTGACAAGACTACAGGTACGTAATCCGTATCAATCAAAGGTGTAAAAAAACTGAAAATCATATCTGTCGGAGACCTACCAAATTACCAAGTTTTATCATTACTATATTTATTACAATGCAAATACTTTAGTGATACATTTTTTAGAGGAGAGGGCATACACACAAGTATATTGCTTCCGTGTGTGAATGCAGGTTGTACTTGGTATCTCAGTTCTCAGTTTCATACCGGTTGTATAACTGAATTTGTATATGGAACCATGCGTACAGCATGACAATTACTTGCTATTCGTCAGTTTACAACACACATAACACGGTCAAAAATTTTAGGCACCGCTTTTGCGAGTTATGTAGTACAGTAATGTTTTATTAAAATCTATTTCAATTTGTTTTCACCATTTTCCCTATTGACAGTCGTTGTTACGTGCGTCACTAGGTAATTAGTACGGATTGACCTTGTTTATTGTTTCTATACTTTGAGGATTTCTGTGACAACTGGCGGACGTAATTCAAACTCCTTCCGCACTGACACCGCATCAAATATATTTGTGTACCGATTACATAACTCTAATGGACAGGGTGGGGTGGTAGTTCACCGGACGACACTGTGTATATTGGGCGGCTCCTTTGATATCTCCTCCAAACATACGTTTATTGAATGACTCCATTAAACGACGATACACATCTCGATGAATATATCAAGGCACTAATTCATCTTTCATAAACATTTTTTTGTCTTTGTGCTTAATATATCCACATATCAACGAACATTTGTAAAACATGTATCCTAAAAAAGATAAACATTTTCAGGCTAGGTATTTGCCCACAGCAACACCTGCATAACTGTTTATTCACGCGTGGTGTGGTAGATCGTAATTGACCGAGAGCAGGTATTGTAGAATCACCTGTAAATAAGGCCGACACAGTAATTAGATACAACGTACTAATGAGAATTATCATAAGAAGGCTGTTGTTTTTTCTGAACTGTTACCATTTTCATACCAAAAGTGACAATGCAGTTAAGAGTTGCTTTAGTGTCACAATATTCACTCACGTTTTCCTCAATCGCATTGAAACATAATTCCCACTGGTCAGTTCGAAACCGCATGTAATTAAATAATTATTTCGAGATTTCGTTAGAATGTAAGATATTCAGCCAAACGTTATGCAATAAAAGACGAATAGTTTTTTTCATTAAAATTCGCGCACGCGTACCTGTATATTGCATACCTGGTGTCACGTAATTGCCCAGTGTGATGTATCAACGGGACATTAAATGGGAAATGAAATAGAAACTAACTAAAATTTAATGTTGTGGAAAATAACTCCAATGAATTGGAGGACACGCACATGAATTCGTATGATAAACTGTCAAAACGTTTTGAGAGGTAAGGCCGGGTTCATTAAAGATCGCTACAATATGTAAAACAGGTGAAATTTGTAGAACTAAAGGAAACATCCAACCAAATGCCCTTTTTAAATAGTAATGTAATGATATAATATAAAGTATATTTCACACGATACAATATACTTTGCAAACAGTTAGTTGATGCTTGAAAGGGACTGACGTAAACATGGGCGAAATATTTTAATAACGCCGTAAAATAGTTGAATTAAGTAAAAATTAGTTAAATTTTGTGTCATGATACTTGAATAAATACATTTAATGTATTTGCGAAACAAAAACATGAGTTTTAAGTAAAGGAACATATTCTCGCCCATGGGCCTGCCCATGGGCCTACCCATGGGCCTACCCATGGGCCAAACCCTTTTTCTCGCCCATGGGCGAAATATTTCAATATCGCTATAAAATCGTTGAATTAAGTTAAAATGAGTTAAATTTTGTGTCATGATACTTGAATGAATACATTAAATGTATTTGCGAAACAAAAACATGAGTTTTAAGTAAAGGAACATATTCTCGCCCATGGGCCTGCCCATGGGCCTACCCATGGGCCAAACCTTTTTCTCGCCCATGGGCGAAATATTTCAATATCGCTATAAAATCGTTGAATTCAGTTAAAATGAGTTAAATTTTGTGTCATGATACTTGAATGAATACATTAAATGTATTTGCGAAACAAAAACATGAGTTTTAAGTAAAGGAACATATTCTCGCCCATGGGCCTGCCCATGGGCCTACCCATGGGCCTACCCATGGGCCAAACCCTTTTTCTCGCCCATGGGCGAAATATTTCAATATCGCTATAAAATCGTTGAATTAAGTTAAAATGAGTTAAATTTTGTGTCATGATACTTGAATGAATACATTAAATGTATTTGCGAAACAAAAACATGAGTTTTAAGTAAAGGAACATATTCTCGCCCATGGGCCTGCCCATGGGCCTACCCATGGGCCAAACCTTTTTCTCGCCCATGGGCGAAATATTTCAATATCGCTATAAAATCGTTGAATTCAGTTAAAATGAGTTAAATTTTGTGTCATGATACTTGAATGAATACATTAAATGTATTTGCGAAACAAAAACATGAGTTTTAAGTAAAGGAACATATTCTCGCCCATGGGCCTGCCCATGGGCCTACCCATGGGCCAAACCTTTTTCTCGCCCATGGGCGAAATATTTCAATATCGCTATAAAATCGTTGAAATAAGTTAAAATGAGGTAAATTTTGTGTCATGATACTTCAATAAATACATTTAATGTATTTGCGAAACAAAATCATGAGTTTTAAGTAAAGGAACATATTCTCGCCCATGGGCCAAACCTTTTTCTCGCCCATGGGCGAAATATTTCAATATCGTTATAAAATCGTTGAATTAAGTTAAAATGAATTAAATTTTGTGTCATGATACTTGGATGAATACATTAAATGTATTTGCGAATCAAAAACATGAGTTTTAAGTAAAGGAACATATTCTCGCCCATATGCATGGGCCTGCCCATGGGCCTACTTTAACCGAGACTGGGCAAAGACCGTAGAGTTTCTGGACTTTTGGGTTTCCAGAATTAAAATGGGACGTGTTTTTACGAAAACATTCACTTGAAGAAAGTATGTACAGATAAACACTTGAGCGCTCACGTAATTCAAGACCACAGTCATAGCCACTGTATTCCGTGGTACAGAGGCAGTCCGCGGAAGTGAAGGTGCAGGTCCCACTATTCAGACAGGCCTGGTTAGGGCGTCGGCAGTCAAAAGTGGCATGAGCTACAAAGTGAAAGTGAAGTAAATGTTTGTCAAAAAAGGCAATATACGCTATTTAAGTAATTATTAATTTGTGAATTATCTACATACGTTATGGGGGCGGTCGGGTAGCATCGTGGTTAAAGCGTTCGCTCGTCACGCTGAAGACCCGTGTTCGATTCCCGACATGGGTAAAATGTGTGAAGCCCATTTCTAGTGTCCCCCGCCGTGATATTGCTGGAATATTTCTAAAAGCGGCGTAAAACCATACTCACTCACTCACCCATACGTTATGGAGTTTGATTCTTGTTTCGTTGTATTTTTCGCATTTTGCAGGCGAAATGTTATCTATTTTGTACATTTGAATTCCCTCAAAAGAAAACAACATTTGATAAAGGATAGGAATGACCCTTTACATACGGACACAAATTTAGAAAAAAGAGAATTGTACAGATGTATGTCTCTGAATCAATAATTATGCACCTATAAATCACGAATGAGTGAGTGAGTTGGGTTTTAACGCCGCTTTTAACATTATTCCAGTTATATCACGGCGTGCCAGCTTAATGTGGGAGGAAAGCCCGAAGTGATGCAGGTCTCAGACGTTTACCACTTCGGTGAAACCAGCGAGCACGGGTATGGTGCTGACAAACCTAGAAACATAATTGGGCAAACCGGGATTCGAACCCACCTATCATAGGTTTCTGGCTTCCCAAGGGGCGCAACTCGGCACAGCGAATCGCGGCGCCTAAGACAACTGGGCTACCCGTGTCTCCTTATCACGAATGACATTTTGGAAAACTACAACAAATCCATTAAAGGAACTTTAATTTGTTTGAAAAATAATTACATGTCATTACGTTATTTAAATGTCAGCAATAATAGAGACAACATAACTCAATAACTCACCAAGGCTGAGTGATAATATCAGAACTAAAATAGGAAGACTGGTCATGCTGATAACTAGAAACAGACGAAATATTCATTTATTCATATGATAAATGACCAGCAACACAAAAACATATATAAAGGCTTTCCAACTATTAAATGAAACAAAACATTTCATAAAAGAAACACCTGATGTATATCCATATATACCCACTGTATAACTCATACAGACATTGAGCATATAGTAGTCAGGATTTCGTGCCAAACGATTGTTATGGGTTTGACAGATTGACACTATGAAATACAAAACACTGAGTGACCTTCATGTCAGGGACAGGAATGACACTATGGTCCAATCTTGTCAATACCATGTACGGATGCAGGGACATTAATAACACGATGATCTTGTGAAAAACGTGTGTGACCATCATTCGCTCTGTTGCATGGTTGCAGCGACAATAATGATACCATCTTCTTATCAATACCACGTGTTACGACCATGCGCTCTGATACATGGATGCATGGATGCAATCGTCAGCGTCTCATCAAGGCTGTTTGGAAGCTATCCGTTCGTGAGACAACGCCCCTGTCAACTCGAGGACGTTTCATGCTTGATATTGTTGACAATAAACACGACATTTAAGTATTCCCATTAAAGGGGTTCATGTTCAACGCCTGAAAACCGTGTAATCTGGAGCACGAAGCAGGACATCATAGACTACAGTCCGTCTAGCTCCAACATCTTGCGGGGTGTTGACAAGCTAGTTAATGAATCCCTTGGTCTTGTAACAGTGGAGACATGGCAGGGTTGCCTCACCAAAGCCGTCAACGAGAAAGAGCCAATATACTGGTCATGTGGTGGACTTCAGCAAGCAACAGTCCCACCTACAGTTGTGATCATCAGCAGTGAGGTGAGGTGAGGTGAAATGGGGTTTAACGTCGCGTCCAAGAATATTGCACTTATATAGCGACGTGCATGTACGTGTGTGTGTTTGTGTGGCTGCTTGTACTAGTCCGGACTGATGCCGATTTATAGTGCTAGCTCACTGAGATACCATGCCGCAGTTTAACATGAATACCTCACTCAGACACAGTATACTGACTCTGAGCCGACCAGTCCTTGTTTTAGCCCCATAATGCCAAGCGCCAGACAGGGTAACAACAAGTACCATCTTTTTACGTCTTTTGGTATGACGCGGTCGGGGATCGAACCCCGGACCTTCCACTCTCCGGGCGGACGCTCTACCACTAGACCACGGAGACGGTCTCATCAGCAGTGACACAAGCGATTCCGACGACGAGGGCTATGACATGATCGAGTCAGATTGCGATTAAAAATTATCATGAGACGGCCCCTCTTATGCTGTCATTCCCTGTACCGTTATGTAGCACGTGCAGTACGTGTTTGCGCTCTTCCTCCTGCAGTTGTGCCCCGTCCGTTCAAGATGTCAACTTGTACACTTAACAAAATGATAGTTCCTTAAACAAATTCCCAGTAGTGGGAATAAAAATAACATGCATATATTGATGGGTACGGGGTATTTATGTGCCGTATTGAAGTTTAATGGACTATTCCCGATTTTGAGTTATTTTGCAAATCATCGTTCTCATTTGGAGCCAAACGGTCTGTAAAGAAAGTGATATTAACGATATGGCTGACGGACCTGAAATTGCAGAACATATAGAACAACATCTGAATCAAATATCATTTTGTTCCTGAAATGACAAATAAACTGATTTATCTACGAGAGCCTATTGGGACACAAGAGCAAAATGGTCGTCGAAATAATGTCATTCTTTATGGACTCTCTAGGAAATCTACACAAGTGTGCAAACTTGTGTGTGATGTACCTAATGGTGACGAAGAGAAGAATACACCTATCAGCATCGATGCACTAGTGACAGCTCACACATTAGTGTCTGGCAAATTATGGTCCCCGGGACGAAGAAGGAGGGTCTGAAGAAGAGTGGCAATGGAATATCAAATGATCTACCCCAAACACACATAGACACTATAAAGACATAATGGCGACTATAAGAAGGCTATTTCAAGGAAGGTATATTTTTAATAAATAGGTTAGAGCACGCCACACCGGACAATCCTCGTTATTCAAAGGAAGTCAGCATTCACGTTTTCTCCAACAGAAGAGCCCCCATACCTGAACATGAAGTCCACAGCATAGTAGCCACATGGACAGCACTGAACAAAACGTAACCGTAATCATGAGAAATCTGTGCTAAAAGTATAGTCCATTGTACAACTCCGACTATGTCATCGGCATGTGTTTATCAATCACTCCCAAATGGTGATGATACCAGGTGTTTGCGAAAAGGTGAGCGTATCCTGCCAAAGATACCTGTTTGCGAAGAATAAACTTTTTTTGTATCGTAAAATCTGTATATTTGATATAGCTAATTCCATATAATGTATTCTTTAATTTCGTTGACACAGTAAGTTCCCCTTATTGCAACTGTGTGGTGTCGAAATAAGCCGTATTCACGACTGTAATAACACAGATTGAAGTGGCACATATGAAAGCTTATAAACGGTTTCTTGGAGTGAAATCATTTTGTTGGAGAGTACAGTGTGAGGTTCCCATATTCTTAAATTCTTATACCGGAGTAAAGCAATTGTGAAGATTTTCAATGATGCCAGATAAAGGTGAGGTGAGGTGAAATGGGGTTTAACGTCGCGTCCAAGATTATTGCCCTTATATGGCGACGTGCATGCACATGTATGTGTTTGTGTGTGGCTGCTTGTACTAGTCCGGACTGATGCCGATTTATGGTGCTAGCACACTGAGATACCATGCCGCAGTTAAACATGAATACCCCACTCAGACACAGTATACTGACTCCGAGCCGACCAGTCCTTGTTTTAGCCCCTTAATGCCGAGCGCCAGACAGGGTAACAACAAGTACCATTTTTTAACGACTTTTGGTATGACGCGGCTGGGGATCGAACCCCGGACCTTCCGCTCTTCGGGCGGACGCTCTACCATTAGACCACGGAGGCGGTCTGATGCCAGATAAAAGATATGTATGTCAAAAAGCTATTACATATATTGTGTTATTTCAAGCAACAAATGAAGGTAAAACAGACTGGATGTCTAGAATTAAACATATTTTATTGTCTGCTGACTTTGGATTATAGATTGGTATATATTACTCTAAAATTTCCACAGTTATCAGTAAGATTGAAATCTTGTGAGTGAGTGAGTGAGTGAGTGAGGTTTTACGCCGCTTTTAGCAATATTCCAGCAATATCACGGCGGGGGACACCAGTAATGGGCTTCACACATTGTACCCATGTCGGGAATCGAACCCGGGTCTTCGGCGTGACGAGCGAACGCTTTAACCACTAGGCTACCAGGCCGCCCCTGTTATCAACAGAAATGGCTTACAAAAATATGTATTACAATGTATATTCTTTGTTTAAAAAATCTTTAAATATTGAGCAATATTTATCCCAATTTTTAAACCGAAAGTTGATTTTGCACAACTAATATGTGGTTCACATTCCTAAAGAAGAAAAACTGGTGGATGTGACCACATACTGATGCATAAAAGAACGTGTCTGGTTTGTAAATCGTTATCGTGTACTGATATGTAATTACTATCTGGTCCAACGTCAAATATTTCACGGTTGCAATTGACATTATGAATGAATGAAAGAATTAGTCTTGAATGACAAATGCCGTTTCTGCCAACTGCCTAAGTAACCCACAAAGATAGGCCAGAGCCAGTATAGGAAACAAGCCTACAATTGTGTCCTGGCGAGACATGCAAAATATCAAAGAGCTTACCTAATTCAGAACGAGATAAAGTCAGTAGTCTGTCATCCAGGAAAATAACGACTGAACAAACATAAGCTCTCTTGTTCATTTTATATGGGACACTTTCACAAAGTTGACAACACCCATTGGCTTGATATATGTTCTGTAGCACTTAAGGAAAATGTAATTGAAAGTTATTTCTTTGTACGGAAACAAACATTTAGGCATCCAATTTTGTCATATAATTTTACATGTTTAATTTTCATATTTGAAAAGCCTTATAACGGTTCTTGAACATTTGAATGGCCTGTACAAAGATAACACATGCAGAATGAGAGAAACTACATATTTGGCATTGAGGTAGCCTACATGTAAATATAAAATGTCAATGTAATAGAATAACCAGCCTTAACTTTCTGCCGAAACATTCCTGATGCGTAAAGGGCAAATATCTATGAACAATATATGAATGGACCACTGAAAATTAGTAATGACACCAGGTGTTCGTGAAAAGGGTAAACATGTCCTGCCCTAAGTTATAAGTGAGGGGGCACGGGTGGCCCAGTCGTCTAAGGCGCCGCGATTCGCCGTGCAGAGTTGCGTCCCTTGGGCACGTCAGAAACCTATGATTGTGGGTTCGAATCCCGGTTCGCCCCGATTATGTTTCTAGGTTTGTCAGCACCATACCCGTGCTCGTGGGTTTCACCGAAGTGGTAAACGTCTTAGACCTGCATCACTTCGGGCTTTCCTCCAAAATTAAGCTGACACGCCGCGATATAACTGGAATACTGTTAAAAGCGGCGTTAAACCCAACTCACTCACTCACTTATGAGTGAAGTATATAGGATAATCAATAGTGGTTGACAAATATTGTGACGTTGATAGAATTGATATTTTCTAAGAAGACCAACACATTTGACAGCCATAGGGAAATATTTATTGTGTAATATAATCCAAGTTATCCAAGATAATCCAACCCATTTTGTTGTTCAAGTCATAAACTACTAATAGAAGTAGGAAGACTACAATATCCTAAGATCGAAACCACTTTTATATTATCCCTTGTATTGAATCTGAATATCATGTCTTCCTGGACTGTCTATTATACTAATTTTAGGAATTTTATTCTTCCTATATACTTTTGCACTTCTCTCAGACATGTAAAGCTTCAAGTACTATTTTCTAGAAAATCGAATGTTTTGAAAAGACTGGCTACATGTATTTTTCTAGCCCTAAAGAAGCACAGCACCTATTCGAAGGAAGCGCCAATAATGTGAATACATTGTTTTAATTGCTTTGCTTTAATTGCACCAGATGAAGCCTCACTACAACCTATCTGTGCACGTCCAGAATTGTAAAGTGGCCTGTAATAATGACTATAATGACATTTGAACTTCACCCCAAACAAGAAATACAAAAAATTGAAATATATGAGAGATAATTTTGTACTGCTCGAACTAAACAACAGCCTCCAGTGGATAGAGTGTCTAGGAGAAAGAGTGGAAGGATTGTTCGATCCCCTGGCCAGGTCACGCCAAGAGACGTAAAAACTGTTGTACTTTTTGTTACCTTGCCTGGCCCTAATTAAGTCGACAAAACAAGGAATGCCTCGGAGTCAGCAAAATGTGTCTGAGTGGGGTATCCATGTTAAACTGCAGCGTGGTATCTCAGTGAACTAGCACTATTAGTAGATGCATCCACACACACACGTGCATGCACGTCGCTATATAAGTGAAATAATCTTGAAAGGGACGTTAAATCCCATTTCACCTCACTGCACACTAAGTACTCGAACGTAAACATGTTCTGGACATGTCCATAGGGATTCATTACGAAATGACATTTCCAAACGGCAAATCATGCGCCTGTAAACGTGCAGTGGGAGGCATCATTACGAGGAACTAACAAACACGTCTGACGTAACGTCAATGGGTATCCTCAAGCCATGATGTGTCAGACAAACAGGTCAGACAGAACGTCAATGGGTATTTTCAAACCATGATGTGTCAGACAAACAGGTCAGACATAACGTCAATGGGTATCTTCTAGCCCTGGTGTGTCAGACAAACAGATCAGACAGAACGTCAATGGGTATCTTCTAGCCATGACGTGTCAGACAAATAGGTCAGACATAACGTCAATGGGTATCTTCAAGCCATGACGTGTCAGACAAACATGTCAGACAGAATGTCAATGAGTATCTTCTAACCATGACGTGTCAGACGAACAGGTCAGACAGAACGTCAGTGGGTATCTGCTGGCCATGACGTGTCAGACTAATAGGTCAGACAGAACGTCAATGAGTATCTTCTAACCATGACGTGTCAGACAAACAGGTCAGACATAACGTCAATGGGGATCTTCTTGCCATGATATATTAGTATCACGGTCCCGACCTTGAGCTACGAGTGTTACGTCCGTCTATCGTCACTGGCACGTATAGGATATACATCACTGATCATGATAGATTAGAAAATCTCACTGTCAGCCATATGATAACATTTCTCAATGTCTGATTACTTGGGAATGAAAAATTCATCTACCCAAACATGGAATACGACACCCTCTATGTATTGGTTTTGTTGTTGTTGTTTTTTAACGCCGAACTCAGCAATATTCCAGCTATATGACAGCTGTCTGTAAATAAATGACATCATGAGCATCGATCCAATGGGATACGCTGATATGAAAGTCAGCGAGCCTGACCACCCGATCCCGTTAGTCGCGTCTCACAAGCATGGTTTGCTGAAGACCGATTCTAACCCGGAATCGTCACGGGACACCCTCTATGTAATGCATTACGTTCAAGAACAACCTGTTTGTTAGTTCCTCTCTTCTGTTGACACATAGGGAACAACAAAAGTTAGTTTTATAAGTTGAGCTTTATATAATCTATATGAAATGGCCTGTTTGGGTCCGGGTTTGAATAAACTTTTGTATACCATGCTTGTCATGAGAGCTGACGTAAATGGGGATCGGTTGGGGTGCGTTTCATCGTACCCCGATGGCCATTCACGACAAAAAAAAGTATGTGCTTGACAACGGGGCCTCGGACTTTAACCACACAACTATTGGACCCCAAAGTCTAAACTTTTAAATTCTCTAACGTAACTAAACCTTGGATAAGAGTAACTGAGTGAGTATGGTTTTACGCCGCTTTAAGCAATATTCCAGGACTATCATGGCTGGGGACACCAGAAATGGGCTTCACACATTGTACCCATGTTGGGAATCGAACCTTCAGGCGTGTGAGCGAACGCCTAAACCACTAGGCTATCCCAAACATCCCCAATACATACACTGAAAGTAACACTCTAAAGGGTAGACTCACCCATCATCACTGATGACTCTCCACCTTCCAACCCAGCCACCCACCACACAATACAACCCCTTCCCCCTTTCTCTCACTGAAGGCTGAAACTTAAAATTCGCCCACCACACACAATAATAACCATGTGTGAGAAAAATAATCTTAATGCAAATAAATACTAAAATAATTTTATTCACAATCATCATACATCTCGTGAAGTCAATGGCACATGCGTGAACTCAAATTATAATACTATTGCCTTTAATGTCCTGTATATAAGGGTATTACGAGAGGCACCAAGAAGAGTATTCAAAGAATTCTTCAGAATGACAAAGGTACATGTATGCAACAAAGCTTCAAAATGCATACGATATCATCAATACGTGTAAACATGCGACTCAAAAAGGTTACCCACATTATGAAATAATAACGTGAATAACCATAAAATGTTACAAGACAATGTACAACATACACTATACACCCCTAACCTTTGTGTGTTATATCTTGGCTGCTGGGGGAGACGTTAGACAACAAACACATACTTTTTTCGTGGAAATGTTTGCGAAGCGGGTGCTACTGGTAGGGCCAGTAAAACTGACTGTAAAAGTCCATTTTCCAGTTTCCAGTTTCGTAGCGCCATCAGTGGCGTTTATATATGTCCATTCTATGTCCCTTCTATTAACCAATAATGGTTCCACCTATCACATCACTTCAGATAGAATAGTCACCCATTGACGACGATCTGATAATCAAGATCTATTTTGTAAATAAAACTTGTATTACTTCGCGAAGTGCATCAAATCACGTGAGCACTTTGATTATAAACATTAAAAGATTTGAAAAATATCTGTCGACGCGAAGTTGTCAATACACATGCTGTGCAAATCCTGCAATCGACCGAAATCTGCAGGGCAGTTCACGAACAGAATATCGATTTCTGATTGGACTATACATAGACTCGTTAGTCCAGCCAAATTATAACTCCAAAATTGCAGCCTAGTTCAGCAAGGGCGGAAACTGGACATTATCGGGAAGATTTTGTTTGCCTGAACCAGACTCAAATATTTACACTCCGTCGTTAAAACAGGGATAAGTTTTCACAACTCCTTACTCACTGGCACTTACTTGTTATGAAGATTGAGTGCATGACGCGTGCTACCGGTAGAACAGGATGTGCATACCCTTGTCGCAAGCACCTAGATCAGTCGTCCAATGACAATACTTTCAATCACGTCTTTTACGTCCTGTATAAGCTGTTTCGGCACAACATTAGAGACTGACTTTTTCCAGTTGACGTTTTGAATATTTCTTATTACTGACTGCGATATTAAACAACACTCACTCACTCAATCATTCCGTTCATACCAGCTGTCACTAATGACATACTCAGTGTAAATCGGGGGATATACAAAACCTAAACTCCACGCACCAAACATCATAAACTTTACTTGCAACTTAATTTGATTTATGGTGTTGTGTGTGCTGTCTACATATATGAGGTAAATATGCATAATTCTGGCGTGGTTTACTGATCATGGGTGCTTCTCGGCGGTGACGGGGGCGACGTACACATCGATCTTGGACTCCTTTTTGCGACGACGACGACGAAACATGACAACAATGACAATGAGGGTGGCAGAGAGGACGATAAGGAAGAAGATGGCCACAGCCATGGCAATAAGGGTTGCTGTGAGCTCCCAAGATGTCTCACAGCCCGTAGCAGTGACGCCGGGGGTGGCATTTGGTTTGGAGTAGACGTTTTCTGTAAAGAAATTATGAATGATATTTTAACTTCATCGATATTAGGGCGTCAGTAAAAATTTGGATACAATGCAATTATTGTCATTGATATATTTCACCAAAAGCAGAGGATATATGATAAATGAAATTCATTCAGTATCTTTTAATTTATGTTTAGTTTTTCATTAAGGATAAACCTCATATGACTTGTTTGTTCTACACAAACATTGAAATGAATTTCTACGCTTGATAATATTCGTTATTGTCATGCAACTGGCGCATATTTAGCATCACTTAATAACCATAGTTCACAAAAAGATGCCTCTGAGTTATTGTGGCATATTACAGTATCACGCGTTGTGTAAAATACTCCTGAATGTGCATGAAATGAATTAAAGTAATGATCGAGTTCAAGGGGGGATTGGCTGGGATTACTGTGTTCAAGAAAAATTGACTTTTCAAACTTATGTGTATCTTACATTACTTATTAATATATTTTTTACATTACCTACATATTGTCCTCCACTCTGTCTACGGATCTTCACCCAATAGGACTACATTACATCACCTCCATATTGTCCTCCACCCTGACTACGGATCTTCACCCAATAGGACTACATTACATCACCTCCATATTGTCCTCCGTCCTGACTACGGATCTTCACCCAATAGGACGACATTACGTTACCTCAATATTGTCCTCCGCCCTGACTACGGATCTTCACCCAATAGGACGACATTACGTTACCTCCATATTCTCCTCCGCCCTGACTACGGATCTTCACCACCTTGTGCAGCTGCACCTCATTCCCGGCATCCCTCTTCCTTCTGCCGTAACCGCCGTCTGGAGCTGTACAGGTAGCCTGAAATATACATGGAAAATCATACTTCATTCCAAAAGTGTCCAAATGATCCATACCTGATACAATGTTATTTCAGACCTAAACACAAGTTTCCAACTTTTCAACCCACATAGCTCGAATGACCGTTTCTTTCCAAGCTTAAGTTTCAAAGAGAAGCTTTTTCTTCAAATTTCAAACACAATCTAAATATTATTAAATCTTTATATCACCCCCAGAGGGAATGACATTGTTTCTGCACGAAACAGTTGAGCCAAGACCAGAATCCAACACCATATGTGATTAATTTTTATCTTCTTTGCAACACACTATTTTCACCTGCTTGTTAGATTGTTTATTTTCGCCCAGGATTGCCTATTTATAAGCATTAATAGAGTGCGTGGGTGAATGAGTATGGCTGAACGTGTGTTCATCAGTAATGTGGCTTGGGGATGGTGTAACTGGAGTCGCCAAGATTTTTTCAGTGATGATAAATAAAAGCCGCCACCTACCGGGTCACAGGCCGAGTTGTCTGCTGTCACACAAACTCTGACCCGGAAGGAGAAAATCACTTCGTCATTTCCGTCGAAGTGGAAAGCCCTTATTTTCAGATTGAACTCCCTGCTGTTGGAAGGGTCGGGCGTGACTGCCTCTGAGATGACAGGGAACCCGTCAGCGTACACACAGCTGAAACATTGATCGACTCTCATATAAGGCTCTCACACAGTGACATAACTGAAACTTCACTCACTCATTTCTATAAGGTGAGCGTGGAATCAGTAATACACTGCCATTGTCACCCAGTACATCATTGAACCCGATCGCTACAACACGGGATTAATTAGAATGCAGATCTAGGAGGAAATTGAGTGACTGAATTTTGTTTGTGCGCCGCATTGAGAATAATTCAGTAATGCCATGACTTGTTAACGCCTTAGGAAAGCCAAAAGTTGAGCAGACAGTAAACGACATCTTCCCGATGCAAGGGCGTTAATTGACTATAAACGTCCAGTTTCCACCCTTGCCGAACTAGGCCGGAATTCCGGAGTTAAATTTTGGCTAGACAGAGGAGTCTGTGCATAGTCCAATCAAAATCACGTGACGAAATAGACATCCGGTTCGCAAACAACATGGATTTCAACGTGCAACGTGTATTTCGGTCGACTGCAGGATTTGCAAAGCATATGTGCCGCCAACTGGGCGCCCACAGATATTTTCCAAATCTTTTCATATTTTTAATCTAGGTGCTCAAGCGATTTGATGCACTTCAAGAGGTAAAACCCGTTTTATTACAATATAGATCTTGGTTATCGATCTGATCGTCTTGACAGGGCGCCGCCAATTTTTGTAAGCAAATTCACGTGATAGGAGAGGTGAAATCTGATTGATCAGTTGGAAGGAAGGGACATAACACGTAATGGCCACAGAACTGGTGGCGTTATGATCGAGTCCGGAAATTCCGACCTAGTTCAGCAAGGGTGAAAATTGGACTTTTATAGTCAGTTAACGCCCTTGCCTCGGGAAGATGAGTAAACGTCTGCTATTTGGTGAAACCTATCGGCACGAGTGTGATGCTGGCGCCCTCGACATAGCAACATAGAAGACCGATTATGAACAAATATTATCAAAAATGATAATCATTCACAAACATCACGCAAATCGCCAACATCACATCGCGTCCTGGAGACACTACCTACCTTCCTTCTATCAGCTTCAGCGTCTTCGTGTCGTTGGAGATGGTGTTGTTGGCCTCCCCCTCCTCCACCCGCATTGACGTGTATACTGGGGAAACAGTGTTCATCATTACGACATAGTAAACAGTTTAGTTCAGTTTCCTGTTCTAACTGTAGACTGGTAATACGACAGTGAGTGCATACATGTTCAATAGTAGAGCTATTACTATTTTGGACCATAACAACCGCGTGCGAAATACGCATCAGTCGGAAAGCGCACGTTAAATCTCCAAAGTAAGTAACCATAACGATTCGAATTACCGACTCTCCAGTTCCGTTTTCTCTTGTAACGATATCATACAACTGCATCTCTATGGCAGTTTACAACCATTGGGATAGGCTACTGCCTTCACACTGCAGTTTACAACCATAAGGATTCAATACTACTGCCTCTACACTGCAGTTTACAACCATAACGATTCAAAGCTACCGCCTTCACACTGCAGTGTACATCAATAACGATTCAAAGATACTGCCTCCACACTGCAGTTTACAACCATAACGATTCAATACTACAGCCTTCACACTGCAGTGTACAGCAATTACGATTCAAAGATACTGCCTCCACACTGCAGTTTACAACTATAACGATTCAAAGCTACTGCCTTCACATTGCAGTTAACAGCCATAACGATTCAATACTACTGCATTTAAATGCCAGTTAACAGCACAACAGTTAATAGCTATACTGAATCAACACTACTGCATATATAAGCCAGTATACTGCCATTACGATACCATCACTTGCTTTCCTCCTATATCAAGCTGACAAAGAGTAATATTACTCATACGGACACAACACTGTCACATTTACATGCCAATTTACAGCTACAACAAGAAACTCCTAACGCCTCCTTTTCGTATGTTTTCAAACTGTTTGTTTGTTATTGTTTGTTGTTTAACGCCGCACTCAGCAATATTCCAGCTATATGACGGCGGTCTGTAAATAATCGAGTCTGGAACAGACAATGCAGTGATTGACATCATAAACATCGATCCACGCAATTGGGATCAATGACATGTATCAACCAAGCCAGCGAGCCTGACCACCCGATCCCGTTAGTCGCCTCTTAAGACAAGCATGGTCGACATATACAGCAAACATGGGTTGCTGAAGACCTATTCTACCCCGGATCTCCATGGGTCTTATAAAAACTAATTCATATGACCTGATACTTTCGGTTTTAATTAAACAATAACACGTTCAGTAAAATTCAACATAAAACGTAACTGGTATACCATCAACCCTGCAAGACGTTAACTTGTCAGTCCGGTGAACCCGTCTGTGTGTACATCCTAGTGTTGAAACATTATGTGCACTATATGTATAATACAATAACCTCGAAAACACACATTGTCACAACACTAAGCCAGATGTATGTATAATTTTGTATAATAACTGGCTTACCTCCTTGGATGCCAAACACGAATCGAAGCTCTGTCCCGACGTCCACGGGATCTCCGTTGTAGAAGACGTTATTGGCAAACAAATAGAAGTCCACCGCCTTGGCAATATCCTCGCGAGACACTTCGTGCTGGCTATTCCTGAGAATTTGAAATTAGAGTCACGTCACATTGGTAACTATACTCTTTATTTGCAAAAAATGGAAAACAATAATTTCCATGTTGTCACGTCTCTATATGTCATAGGAAATGACGTCAAATATAAGTTTGATGTTTTATCTTTTATGTCTTGTAAGGTATTGCAGGGAATTTCCAGCTGAGAAGCTGCGAAACTTATGAAACCATCTAATTTGTATTTCACGCTTTAAAATTCACAAATTTTGAGGTTACACGCCAGCGACGTATTCTTTTAAATAATGTCTGCGTCGCGAGTATCTAACTAAAATCCCGTAACGTTTAGTGACGCTGTGTTCTGCATATGATTACATGCCTGTGACGTTTAGTTCTACATATACTTACACGCCCGTGACGTTGTGTTCTACACATACTTACACGCCATTGACGTTGATCTTGACAACGCTGCTGTCCACGACGACATTGTCCTCCAGGATACACTTAACATAGTAGCGGTCGTCGATGTCGGTCAGCATATTCGGACTGTATTTGACAACCACCACGCGGTCAAATTCTTTTTTGCCGGAAGTCTGCAAAATTCGTAAAAATAAAAATGCTTTGAACGATTTGGTCGATTTCCTTGATATCATGATCTAAAGCCACTGGTAACATATACTACTTTTACTATTTCAGACTGTAAATGTTAATTAATACACATGATGTGATTTATGGGAGGGTGGGTGAGGTTTTACGCTGCGTTAAGCAGTATCCCAGTTATATCAGCCGTAGGTCAAAGAACACCCAATGTACAGCAATTGTATATAATAGTAATACTAGTCCATCTATAAGACCTAACATTTTGTGTATGCTCGCAGCGCTACCTTATTACTCCGGTCAATGTTCACTCGATTTTCATTCTCAGCTCCCTCGGGAGTACATAACCTAAGCTGCTTGAGCTACGCTCACATGTTAGCAGTCATATTATTATCTCATCCTACCGGGTACCCATTCACTACTGGATGAACAGAGGCCTATTTCCAACAATGCCGGGGGCACGGGTGGCCCAGTCGTCTAAGGCGCCGCAATTCGCTGTGCAGAGTTGCGTTCCTTGGGCACGCCAGAAACCTATGATTGTGGGTTCGAATCCCGGTTCGCCCCGATTATGTTTCTAGGTTTGTCAGCACCATACCCGTGCTCGCTGGTTTCACCGAAGTGGTAAACGTCTGAGACCTGCATCACTTCGGGCGTTTCTCCCACATTAAGCTGGCACGCCGTGATATAACTGGAATATTGTTAAAAGCGGCGTTAAACCCAACTCACTCACTCACTCAATCGAACAATGCCACTTGCTCAAAGAGACATAGTAGACGTTTTCCTCGTCTGTGTATTGTGATGATCGGGGTTTGAACACAAGATTAACGAATACAGGCACAGATAAGGGTCGTAACTCCGTACAGCAAATAGCGACTCCGAAGTTTGTGTTTCTCATTTCACAATCAGTTGGATTGGGAATTTATCACTACCATACTTATGTCAGTGTCTAAAAGTTGGGTGGTGGGCATAGACTTATGATTAAAGCATTCGCTACATAGGTAGAATGCATGAAGCCAGGTGTAGAGGTCCCCCGCCGTGACTTTTGCTGAAAGCGGCGTAAAATAATACCCACTCACACATGCTAGTTCCTGTGTTGCCATACGAATTACATGAACTTACAATGACTGGCACACTGGGGCCGCAGGCTGCACTGTCATGCTCTACTTGGATGTAATGCCCCTCCCAGCTGTCAGGGATCTTGTCGAACGTGTCTACCGGAGTCGGCACTGACTGGGAGTCACAGCCAGTGATGCCTTTCTTGTCCTCCACGAAAGCCTCGTAACCACTAGCACTGTAAGGGTTTATCCCTATAACCATCAAGTCCGCAACGCAGGTCAGGGAAACTGTAAAAAAAATATGTGATACAAGATAAGCATTACTGGGATTCAGGGATGGGATACTGGTTTGCCGAATTATTCAACTGTTCATAAAAGGATTTAACAGATTACCTTCGAGCATCCTTTTATTTACATATTTGGTTAGACTTGCATAAGTATCTAAGGCAATAATTATTAGTTCAAATCATAAGTTCCTGATTATATAGATAATAAGAACAAGTTATTCCTACAAGAGACTGGCGTACTGTCCACACATCTGAACTTGCCTTTTATAAGGATCGAATTACTACACACCCGTGGACTTCATTCAGTACAGACTTGGAACAAAGCTGAAATTTGGTTTATAGTTGTCTCCACAAAACCGTACAGGAGGTGATCGTAAAGTTGTTGCTTTTTTATTTGAAATCAAAGGTTACTTTGCCTCATTATGATTTATGATTACTTTGAAGTTTTCGTTACTGAAACAAAACTAGGCGGGCAGGAGAAAATATTCTTCTCAAATTTTAAAATTACATGTAGGTCTCGATGGATCTCTGAACAAAGTCTAGACTAAAAGCCTCAATTGTTTTTGGTCAAATTGTTTCATTAACATTTTGTCTTACTTTCCAGGCAAATGTAGACAAGAGGTCTGTATGAAGTGCTTACATCGATTCTTTTCACACGTATCTCCGTAGTATTCGCTGTCGCAGTAACATTTGGCGCCGAGGACACCGTCGTCAAAGCAGGTACCTCCATTGAGACATGTAGATGAGGTACAGCTGTTTTGGTCAACGTCAGCTGACAAAGAAAATTCAAAACGAATTGAACTGAAGAAATAATTAGCTCTAGATTTATACTAATTAATGTCATGGAAGGTAAATGTCCATCATTAAGGGTTCCAGGGCCATATTAGATCTCTACCATCTCGGGCATATCTCATAAAGTCGAGTTAGTGATGCCAGAAGACCTGAAACAGTTTATGGATAACAACGTCTATCTTGTTTGTAACAAGGGTTCACGGCTACACCTTGTCCCTTCATGAGGCGAATACTGAATAAGCGTAAAGAGTTAACATAGCGCCATATATGTGTGAGTGTTTGAGTGTGTGAGTGTGTGTTTGTGTGTGTGTGTGTATGTGTGTGTGTGTGTGTGTGAGTGTTTGAGTGTGTGAGTGTGTTTGTGTGTGTGTGTGTGTGTGTGAGAGAGAGTGTTTGAGTGTGTGAGTGTTTGAGTGTGTGTGTGTGTTTGTGTGTGTGTGTGTGTGTTTGAGTGTGTGTGTTTGTGTGTGTGTTTGTGTGTGTGAGTGTTTGAGTGTGTGTGTTTTGTTTTTTGTTTGTGTGTGTGTGTGTTTTTGTTTTGTTGTGTGTGTGTGTGTGTGTGTGTGTTTGTGTGTGTGTGAGTGTTTGAGTGTGTGAGTCCGGTGTGTGTTTTTTAGTGTGGTTTGTTTTTTGTTTGTGTGTGTGTGGTTTGTTTTTTGTTGTGTGTGTGTGTGTGTGTGTGTGTGTGTGTGTGTGTGTGTGTGTGTGTGTGTGTGTGTGTGAGTGTTTGAATGTGTGAGTATGTGTGTGTGTGTGTGTGTGTGTGTGACAACTCTATTGTCCATACATAATCATTATCTGAATATACCGCTCGTCTCGAAATAGGTCAACACGGGAGTTTTACCATAGACCAGTCAATATGTTAAGTGTTACATACAACATACACTATGTATTCAATATAGATCAAGAAGGCAGATCTCAAGTGATTGAGACACTTTAACGTAATGATGTATACAAATGTACATTAAATGGATATATTTTAGGGGATAATGTTTCGCGTAATTTACATATATTTCGCAAGATACAACAAATATTTTAGATAATAGGAAGTCGTTGTTGGAGAGAGCTTCACACCTTAAAAAATGTCGAAATATGTCTCCAGCAGCAGATAGCTTGCACAGTGAACAGACACGGTCATTTGTTTCAATGGGCAAATTATGATTTGATATGCGAAATATTAATGTATATTTCTGGAAGTTATAGACCATTTTAAAATTTGGATAATATTAACCTTTTGTAGTTGTTATATTGAGAGTATCTAAGAATGTGAACTTTAAACGCTTTGGACCAAATGATCACACCACTCAAAAATACCTTTCTAGCCAGTTTTATGCTCATATACATGTTATATTACCTAGTGTCAGACCGCAGTCATATCCACCGTATGCGGGGTCGCAAGTGCAGTCGGCGGAAGTGAAGGTGCAGCTACCGCCATTCATGCAGGCCTGGTTAGGGCGTCGACAGTCAAACGTTGCATGAGCTAAAATGCAATGAAAATAAGGTTAAATGGTCATTCGAACTTCTTGTATGTTTTAAATGGAGTTTCTAGTGTTATTATATACACAGAAATGAATGATGGTCTACATACATATGCATTCTGTAGAAATTTAAAGGCAACTGAATGATATATACTACTCAACATTTGATAGGGAATTCCTCATCCTTTTTGAATACTAAGGGACAAAATATTATTGTACTTGTCTAATTAACTTGAAATGAAGTCAAACTTGATTCAGTTCCACTACAATATAAGACAATATAAGCATGACACTACTTCCAAACAATTACATGTAGATTCATTCAGACCGAAACATTTGTTTGTTTGTTTATTTGTTTTTAACGCCGCATTCAGCAACAATCCAGCAAAATGATGGCCGTCTGTAAAAGGTCGCGCCTGGACCAGACAATCCAGTGATTGTCTACATGGGCATCGATCCAAGCAAGTGGGATACGATGACATGCATCAACTGAGTCAGCGAGTCTGACCACCCGATCCCATTAGTCTCCTCTAACGACAAGCATAGTCTCGTTTTACGGCTGGCATGGGTTGCTGAAGACCTCGTCATCGACCCGTGACGATCCGGGGTAGAATGGGTCTTCAGCAACCCACGCTTGCCTCAAAAGACGACTATAGCTGAATATTGCTGAGTGCGGCGTTGAAGAACAAACAAACAAACAAACAAACAAACAGAACCTTTTTGTCATCAACCAGAGAATACCAGTATTGGTCATCCGCCGAGGCGTAAAAGGCAAACGAGGCAGCAAAAAATAAATGACTGGATCACTGATGACACCAGGTATATGTCATGCCGATAGAACCCCCTCACTCAATTTGGCTAAAAACTAAGTGATTACAGCAAAATTCGTTCTCTGACTCTCTGGACAAAAGTAGGTCCCCGGTAACCTCCGTTTCACCTGAGAGGTGACTTCACAGATTGTAACGTTGCACATAATATCAATCACTCCTCACTCTCTGGCCAAACTGATATAGCTGGAATATATATAGCTGACTGTTATTAAAAATTAAACTAACAAAAAAAGTACAAAGAGCAAAGACACACGAATGTTAATCAATGGTTTCCTCTTGTACAATTTGCACTAAACATTGCGCCAGAGCAATATCACAACTCGAACAAATTATTTTGTTTGAACGTCCTATAAAAGTCCTTCTGGTGATTCCGTTACCATAACGCTTAACGTGTAACTATTTTCACTTTTTGTGAAGTCATCATGTATTCCCAAAGTTTAACCACATTTTCCAATAGATGAACAATACTTACCAAATCCAATTGAAGCTATCAGCACCAAAATTCTAAGACAGGTCATGATGAGATCTGAAAATAAAATGCTTTTCTCATATGAACTGCATATCTGAACGTGCAAGCCATTGAAGAAAATTCAGTGGAATACAAACCGATTATTAAACAATTCTTAGTTAACAAAAGTGTGTTCCATTATTATACGTAATGTACATCCATATATAATTTGTCTGCAATAGACACTATCTGAGCAAATTTAAGTTTCGCGCAAACAGTTTATCAAGTAAATACTGACATTTGAAATAATGACAAATGTAACACGACATAAAAATGAACATGAATATATATTTAAAATTCGTTTAAAAGTATTTGAATTTATTTTTTAAATCATTTAGCTGATAGTTAACAAAAGTGTGTTCCGTTATTACAGGTAATGACTATTCTTATATCATGTGTCTGAAACTGACACAAATTTAAAAGCAGCTGAAACAGTTTCATGCAAACTGTATATCAAGAACGTCCTGGCATTTGAACCAATGTAATGTGACATACAAATTAATTGCTATATATTTAGAATTCGTGTGAAAATATTTGACAACATAATGAATCATTAGCGGTTCAAGCCGTATCTCTAATTGTGTAAAACATCTTACCTCTTCACCAAGACAGGGACCAGAAGCTGCACTTTATGGCGGGTAATGCCACCTTATATATATACATATGGCACCGCATCTAACACCATTGGTGGAGCACATTCGCAGCATGCGGTGAATATTCTAATATTTACAGACCATTTCTGTATGAGATGTCTTGCAGCGCATCAATAATATCTTAGCGAATCGCGCCCACATATTTTGAAACCAACGCCCTCTGTTAGGTATTCTTGTTTATCAAGATATTTATGAATTTGACCTCTTTCAAAAATCGATGGATGCTGAATGGCATTTCTTTCATTTCAGGCACATGATTCATCACAACCTTGGCGTCCAATTAACACACTTCACAGTTGGATACGCATGTATGTACATAAAAACCAGGTTGTGATAGGTGTCAGAGACAGATTTTCTAAAGATACATGTATGGCGGCGAATTCAACAATTCCACATGAACAACCAATGTAAATTTTGTTTAAATGCCTATTAAGAATTTAATAATATAACACCTGGTATCATCACTATTGGATAGTGCACCATAAACACATGCTCGTGATATAGTAGGAATCGTACAATAGACTACTTTTATTGGAGATTTTCTATGATGGAGAAATGTTTTAAACATTTTATTTACCAAACAGAAATCTTCTAGCTTCCTTCTACCGCAAATTTACAGTTTACAGGCGTAACGAGAAAACACTGTCAAATGATATTGCACTTTTTAATTTCTTGTGTGACCAACATGATATTGATAGTGATTTTTTTCTAAGCTACAAACTTAATGGATTTGGCGTTAGGGAGAGAGTTGGTAGGAACAGTCTGGAACGTTTCACACCGGGCGAAAAGGACGCATGCCAACAATTAAACTTAGAATGAATGAAAGGGTATTGTTTTACAGCGCTTTTAGAAATATGCCAGCCATATGACGGCAGGGGACATCAGAAATGAGGTACGCACATTGTATCGATGCTGGCAATCGAACCCTTGATCAATCAACGTTCAACCACCAGGCGACCTCCCCACCCCCCCCCCCCCCCCCCCCCTTCCAACAGAAATAGAAAGCTAATAATTCAAATAGGAGAACTTAAGCCAATATGACGCCATAGTTGTCTTATACATAATTGATATATTGTATATAAATCCCTGTCGTTGGAAAGATATATTTGAAATAAATTCGATCGTGATAAAAACGTTATAAAAATGTTTGATTGATATTTTGGCGTCTACGTATGCTAAAACATGTAAAGACACGATGTAGTCAAAGAGAAGTTACGCCCTTTGCCTATAAATAATATTACCATTTATAAGAACCGTTTACTGTTTATACATTGGTGGAAGGTAAATGGCCTCGGGAATTAAAGTTTATATCCAGAATATTTAATCCCAATTATCATATTTGCATCGTGTGTGTTCCAGTACTGAAGGTTCATTGTTGTGGGCGAATGTAGTGTTATGTTTGTTTGTTGTATCCTGCTTTTACCAGAATCAAATAAAACTTAGGGTTACTGGTACGGAATGATATCTTCTTATTAATGATATGAATTGGACACTTAGTAGCAATTGTCCAGTGGCATCAACTGGAGACTTAGTAGCAAATATCTAGTGGAATCAACTGGACACTTAGTAGCAAATATCTGGTAGAAACAACTAGACACTTAGTAGCAAAAATCTAGTAGCATCAACTGGACACTTAGTAGCAAATATCTGATAGCATCAACTGGACACTTAGTACCAAGTATCTAGTTGTAGATACAAGAAAAACAAGAAACCCGGATGGTACGTATCCCAAATAAGTACTAGAATCTGTACTTTACTTAGAAAGTATTGTCTCAAATATAACACTTGTTACATTTGACCACTTTCTCGCTGGCATTGTGTGTTCATTTTGGAAGAGGTTTCTATTTTTTTTAAATATTTAGGCTTGTAGTTTTAATGAAAAACATATATAATGGTTTAGCAGCTGTAGCTGAAAGAACATATAAAATCCATACACAATTCCAGCATGCACGCCAACACACCCCCACACCCCACTCCCAATCTCAAATGGTCGATCCGTTATAAATATAGGAAAATAACGATAGACAGAGACAAGCTAAGACTTACTCACTAGCTGTAAACTGAAATATTGTGACGAAAGAGCCATATATGAGCACACTTCGTAGCTTATAAAATATTCAGGTCTGATTATTCTACCAGATCAAAAATACGTTGTTGTTATGATCTAGTAATATTTTTCACGCAGGTCAAGTCACAAAGTGACCTCTTTGGCCCAGTGACCCACGTGATTTATATGTTCGGTGACCACTTATAATTCTGTCAACCAGTGTCCGAGCTAACGTGATTTGATTAATAAGTTGGTGCGCTGCCTGGCGGGCGGTCTTACCGTCCACAATGTACGCCAGCGCATAAAACTCAAATAACGTGACGTTTTCCCACCTCAACCGTGACACCGTAAATGTGAAACCACATTGTCACAAATAGTTGACCACAAAAATGTGACGAGTAATTATGTTTACTCTATGTTGTACAGGTCTTCAGCATTCATTTATAACTCTGATGTTTTAAAACATTAGCAACACGTGATGTTCTAAGAAAATGCAAGTAAATATAATTGACAAAACCCTTACCCTAATAATATGTGAGTGAGTATAGTTTTACGCCGCTTTTAGCAATTTTCCAGCAATATCACGGCGGGGGAAACCAGAAATGGGCTTCACACATTGTACCCATGTGGGAATCGAACCCGGGTCTTCTGCGTGACGAGCGAACGCTTTAACCACTAGGCTACCCCCCTGCCCACCATAATCATAAGAAATCTGGTCGTAAGGGGTGATTAAAGTGGATCGGGTGGTCATACTCGGGTGGACTTGGTTGATTATGTGTCATCGTTCCCAGGCGTCGGATGTTGCTCATAATATTAACCACTTGTCTGTATGGCCCGGACGCCAGTATTAACTGGTTACCTCAATATAGCTGAATATTTACAATGTGGCGTTCTATAACTCAAAATCACCATGATACTCCCTGAATTTAATCTAAACATATTATTAGATGAATATAGCATTGTGATGTTTGCACCTGCTTGTTTGTCTACATATAATATAGCATGGCGAGGTTTGCACCTGCTTGTTTGTCTACATCTAATATAGCATGGTGATGTTTGCACCTATTTGTTTGTCTACATATAATATGGCATGGTGATGTTTGCACCTGTTTGTTTGTTTACATATAATATAGCACGGTGATGTTTGCACCCATTTGTTTGTCTACATCTAATATAGCATGGTGATGTTTGCACCTGCTTGTTTGTCTACATATAATAGAGCATGGTGAGGCTTGAACCTGCTTGTTTTTCTACATCTAATATAGCATGGTGATGTTTGCACCTGCTTGTTTGTCTACATCTAATATAGCACGGTGATGTTTGCACCTATTTGTTTGTCTACATCTAATATAGCATGGCGAGGTTTGCACCTGGTTGTTTGTCTACATATAATATAGCATGGTGATGTTTGCACCTATTTGTTTGTCTACATCTGACGTAACATGGCGAGGTTTGCACCTGCTTGTTTCTTTACATATAATATAGCATGGTGATGTTTGCACCTATTTGTTTGTCTACATCTAAAATAGCATGGTGATGTTTGCACCTATTTGTTTGTCTACATATAATATGGCATGGTGATGTTTGCACCTGCTTGTTTGTCTACATATAATATAGCATGGTGAGGCTTGAACCTGTTTGTTTGTCTACATATAATATAGCACGGTGATGTTTGCACCTATTTGTTTGTCTACATCTAATATAGCATGGCGAGGTTTGCAGCTACTTGTTTGTCTACATCTAATATAGCATGGTGAGGTTTGCACCTGCTTGTCTGTCTACATCTAATGTAACATGGCGATGTTTGCACCTACTTGTTTGTCTACATCTAGTGTAACATTGTGATGTTTGCACCTGCTTGTTTGTCTACATCTAATGGAAGATGGCGATGTTTGCACCTACTTGTTTGTCTACATCTAGTGTAACATTGTGATGTTTGCACCTACTTGTTTGTCTTCATCTAATGTAACATTGCGATGTTTGCACCTGCTTGTTTGTCTACATCTAATGCAATTCTGTGATGTTTGCACCTGCTTGTTTGTCTACATCTAGTGTAACATGGTGATGTTTGCACCTGCTTGTTTGTCTACATCTAATACAATACTGTGATGCTTGCACCTGCTTGTTTGTCTACATCTAATGCAACATTGTGATGTTTGCACCTGCTTGTTTGTCTACATCTAATGTAACATGGTGATGTTTGCACCTGCTTGTTTGTCTACATCTAATGCAACATGGTGATGCTTGCACCTGCTTGTTTGTCTACATCTAATGCAACATTGTGATGTTTGCACCTACTTGTTTGTCTACATCAAATACAATAATGTGATGTTTGCACCTACTTGTTTGTCTACATCTAATGCAACATTGTGATGTTTGCACCTGCTTGTTTGTCTACATCTAATGGAAGATGGCGATGTTTGCACCTACTTGTTTGTCTACATCTAGTGTAACATGTTGAGGTTTGCACCTACTTGTTTGTCAACATCTAATGTAGCATGGCGATGTTTACACCTACTTGTTTGTCTACATCTAATGTAACATTGCGGTGTTTGCACCTGCTTGTTTGTCTACATCTAATGCAACATTGTGATGGTTGCACCTGCTTGATTGTCTACATCTAATGTAACATTGTGATGTTTGCACCTGCTTGTTTGTCTACATTTAATGCAGCATTGGGATCTTGCACCTCCTTGTTTGTCTACATCTAGTGTAACATGGTGATGTTTGCACCTGCTTGTTTGTCTACATTTAATGCAGCATTGGGATCTTGCACCTCCTTGTTTGTCTACATCTAATTTAACATTGTGATGTTTGCACCTGCTTGTTTGTCTACATCTAATGCAACATTGTGATGGTTGCACCTGCTTGATTGTCTACATCTAATTTAACATTGTGATGTTTGCACCTGCTTGTTTGTCTAC